CACAAGCTCTGTTTTGCTAGGATTCCTCTTTGCCACAAAACTACTCCTCAGGACTGCCTGAATCCATGTATGGGCAATGTAGCAGAGTTCTGAACCCAATGCCAGCAAAAAGGCATTTTTAATCTCCTTCTGACCAGTTGTCCCTTACCATCTGTGGGCTGAGAGCTCCAAAAGCCACTGTTGTCAATTCAGTTGCCTCCAAAACCTGCTGCTGTCTTGCCAGGGTGTTACTTGTGCTAAACTGAACTCCATTCTCACCCTGGTAGTACAAACCTTTCCTACTAAACTTTTAAGCTGGATTGGGCAGGAAAAATGTTTCACCTCATTCTTTCATGGGTTCTGCTGCTAGAGAATTCATTTAGATGCATTATTTTAAAGCTGTTTGCAGTCAAACTTGGAGGAGCTCAGGAGACAAGTCTATGTCTTTTCTCTGCCATCTTCACTCTGCCTCTAGAGATTACTGAAATGGGAAAAAGCTAGAAGAGAGACACCTATGAGGTTAAAACAACTACAAAAAATTAAAAAAATATATCTATTAAGATATTTCTTTCAGGGGCAGCTAGGTGGTGTAGTGGATAGAGCACCAGCCCTGGATTCAGGAGGACCTGAGTTCAAATCTGGCCTCAGACATATAACACTTACTAGCTGTGTGACCCTGGGCAAGTCACTTAACCCCATTGCCTAACCAAAAAGCAAAAAAAAAAGAAAAGATATTTCTTTCTAAATGTGCACAAGGAGATAATGATGAAAGCAAAACTTAAATAGAATAAATATTGGTGGGGAAATAGGCCTAAATCACATACTAAATTATGCCATTTTCCCTCCAATACTACCTCCAGGTAAATTATTGTTTCTTGTAGGACTAAGTTGCAGAATGAGAGGTTGTATAAAAACAGACATGGAAGATCAAATATGGAGGGGAATTGGTGATGTATTCTGATCAAGTCAAATTACTCTTGTAATTCCTCAGAGGAAGAAGAGTTCCAGGAGAATAGACAAAGTTGAAAAGGGAGTGACTGAAAAAAAAGGAGAAAAGAGGAAATTTTAATTCATTGTTGGGAGGGCACACCATTGAAGGACATTCAAAGATTGAGAACGATAAGAAGATTTTGTAATGAGAAAAGAATATGTTACAATAGGTATGATCTTCCAGGATTTGGTGGTCAAAGATACTACTTTGTCTGTGAGTATATTTTGCCTCCACTCACAGCATCTTACCCGAGGAGAAAAAGAATCAGACTTCCTGAGGTCAATCAGTATCTAGAAATGTGGGAAATGCCTAAAAAAGTAAAGCCATACACAAATAAAAATAAAGGACAGGAAAAAAATTTAGTACATATCAGATAAATAAAAAAATTCAAGAGTAGCAATCACACTATCAGATAAAGCAAAAACAAAAAAATCACAACACATAGCTCAATAAGAAAACTTCCTTATGCAGAAAGAAATTGTAAACAAATTAATATTAAGGTAAATTAATTTCTTCCAAATATCATGGCATTTAGATCAGTGAAGAAATCTTTAATGGGTTTCAAGAATAAATAGTTACATAATAATAGTAGGATATTTTAATGCCTTTCTCTAAATTTTGGAAAAATTTAACAGAAAATTAAATGAAAAGGAAAACATAAAAGTGAACAAATTTCTGGAAAAAAAACTAGAGCTAAAAGACTTATGGCATCTGCTAAAGGGACTGGTAAAGACTATATTTCTCAGCATCATGTAGAGCTTCTACAAAAATTATCATGTTTATGCATAATAACATTGCAAATAAATGTAAAAAGGTAGAAATAGTAAGCATATCCTAACACAATAAAAATAATAATAATTTCAGAGTATACACAACATTGAGACATAGACTCAAATAAAGATTTAATAATGGAATTCTAAATAATGAGAGGAGTCAAAGAACAAATCATAAAAATGATAATTGTGTGAAATGAAATTAAAAGGATGTAAATGAATTAAAATTTCTGGGATTCAGTAGAGTTCTCAGAGGAAAATTATATTTCTAAAAGCACACATTAACAAAATATAAAAGGAGATGGTTAACAAATTAGATATGTATATTTAAAATTAAAGGACAAAAGCAACTAATCAAACCCAAAATAAATAAAAAATAGGATGTATTAAAATATTAAGAAATAATTGGAAATAAAAAACGTTGGAAATAAAAGACTGTAGAAATTATAAAACTAAAAGTTAGTTCTTTGAAAAAAATTAATAACATTAGTAAACCTTTAGCCAATCTTATTTTTAAAAGAAAATATAAAATCATATTAACCAAATGGCAAAGTAAACAAAGCAAAGTTATAATAAAATCAAAAGAAGTATAGAAAAGTATAAGAACCTATGTATCCAGTTTATTTGCTAATGACATGGTTGCTATGGTCTATTTAAGAATGTCCCAGGGAATCATCAGACATTCTAAGTAAGACAATTTGTTGCTTTAGCAAAGTTGCAGGCTACAAATCAACCCATCAAAACAATAGCATTTCTGGGGGGCAGCTAGGTGGCTCAGTGGATAGAGCACCAGCCCTGGATTCAGGAGGACCTGAGTTCAAATCTGGCCTCAGATACATAATACTTACTAGCTGTGTGACCCTGGGCAAGTCACTTAAACACATTGCCTAAAAAAAAAAAACCTAATAGCATTTCTTTATAACAATCATAAAGTCCAAGAGGTAATAATAGGGAAATCTCATTCAATATAATGACACAATGCACAAAACATGTGAGAATCAGTATGCCAAAACACAGGATATCTGTATAGATTGGATTACAAAGTACCTCAGTGCAATCATTTGGAAAGCAATTTACATTATAAAACTAAAGAACTAAAATGTCCATACTCTTTGACCTTGAGATTCTACTAGTAGGCTAATAAATCAAGAAGGTGGCTAATAAAGAAAGTGATCACATACATCACAATATTTATAACAGCACCTTTTGAGGTAGCAAAAAAGTGAGAAAAAAGATGTTCACTGATTGTGGAAAGGCTAAAGAAATTTTAGTACATGAATTTAATAAAATGTCACTGTGCTATAAGAAATGTTGAATATTATGAGTAGAGGGAAGACTTAAATAAATTGATGCAAAGTAAATTAAGCAGAAACAACAAAACAATGACTACAACAATGTAAATGCAAAGAACAAAAACAACAAAACAATTGAAAGTGAACATAATAAGCAAGACCTCAAAGAATTAATGATATTTTTATACAGTTGTGCTTTGCTTTATCTTTTCCTAATTTGGGGGTTGGGTCTATATTTGTCTCATTGAGTATACTAAGAATGTTTTCTTTTGGTACTAGTTGTCCTTTAAAGATTAGTATAATCCATTTCTTTGCAGAGATTGGAACACCACCAGAGCGGAACATTACAGAAATTTTCAGAGTTTTTCTATGTATTGATTGGCTTTGCTATTTTTTTTAAAATTTTCTTCCTTTAAAAATTCTATTTGTCATATGAAATGACTCTCTGGGAAGAATGAGGAGGAGAAAAGTAGGGAGCAATTTTGATAATGTTAAAACAACATACGTGATTAAAATTGTATTTTAAAGAAAGATCATTGGTGACTTTGGAGAGAACAGTTTTCATTCAATTATGAAGTTTTGAAGTCAGATTGCAGAGAATTCAGAACTTAGTGGTGGAAAATGAAGTGGAGGTATTGATTATACTTGGCTTCCTCAAGGAGTTGAGGGGAAAACACTTATAGGAAAATAACTAACAAAGGGATTTTTGAGAGATAAAGATATATGAGTGTTTTTGTAGGCTTCATGGAAGAAGCTAGGAGGTAGGGAGGAATTGAAGATTAGAAAAATGAATAGGGGAGAATCCGCTGGAAAAAAATGCAGTAAAGTGATGATGGAATGCTAGGAAAATCATTGGAATGTATCACAGGTACTTATAAAAGTTAATAACAAGTGTCTTAGCAAAGAGAAGAGCCACCTTTTCATGAGAGACAAGGGAAAAAGAGGAAATAATCAGGAAAGACACCTGAGTGATGTGAAGTAAGGAGGGAAGAAAAGAGAGCTTTTGTCAAATGGCCTCAATTTTTTTTTCCACTGAAGTATGAATTGAGGTTCTTAGCTGAAAGAGTTGGAGGAGAGGGTAAAGTGGGGCCCTTAAAGGGGGATTAAAAGTTTGGGATTAGCCATTGTAACAAGAAGGAAAGTGAGTCTATCAGGAATGTGTAAAGGGATTGCCTTATTGGAATGAGGACCAAGTTAAGATGATGTAATATTAATTTGTTGGAAAGGCAGGACAGTGTACACAGTGAAGTGATGATGGCCTGGAAAAGAACTGTAGGACACAGTGAAGACAAAGATAAGTATTATGGGTAATAAAGGAGAGAGAAAGATGGAACAAAAAAGGAGTAGGATCAGATGAAGGAGTTTCTGAGTTAATTAACTTGGAAGTAGAACATTTCTTCCTGAGTTAATGCAACCTGGTCAACCAGATATTTTTCTATTTGTGACAAAGTTCTCAATACATCTGTACTTCTACTTTTTTCAGGTCTGTAGAAATTGTAATTGGAGCTATCTCCATGTAAGTGATGTTCCAGACTAGAGAACCATCTTAAAATATTATACTTTTTAAAATCCCGGAGAAGGAAATATGTAAGATTTTATTTTTTGGTGGAAATATATTCAGAATTCATTTCAAAGTCTGTAATTCTCAGAAAATGATTATCTTCCACTTGTTTTATTTCCCCAGAAATCAAGATTTTTTTAAAAAAATCAAAAGATAGAGCTAGAAACTTGGCTTTATTAATAACTGGAGAACTACTCCTATAAAAGAGCTAATATTTCTCATAAGTCCAATAAGAACCGATGTGAATTTAGGTCTCCAGTAACTAATTAATAATTTATTAAACATCAATAAAAAGAAGACATCCTAAGATTTGACAATTAAGAATTTGCATTCACAATTTCTGATAATAAATTGATTATGCAATAATACTTGTATAATTAAATTCATTTTATTTTCTTCCATAGCTCATCTTTGAAGGTATTCGAGGCCCTGGTATAGAAGGTGATATTGCCATTGATGATGTATCAATTTCAGAAGGAGAATGTGCAAAACAAGATCTAACTACTAAGAGTAAGTGGCACTTGCACCAAAGGAATTGATTTGAAGATGATACGAGTGCATATGTATTTATGTGTGGAAGAAAACATGAATCAAAAACAAAAAGTGAAAAATAGTATGCTGTGATCTGCATTCAGATTCCATCAGTTCTTTCCTTAGGGGTGGATAGGATTTTTGATCATGAGTTAAAGTTATATTTTTCAAAACCAAAACCAATTTAAAGAAATTGGAGAAATGCTTCTTATTCCAGTACCAAATTCTGTTATTGAGATAAGGCAAAGAAAAAGTATTCTGGCTTTGAGATATAGCTCTTATTAAATGAATATTTTAAAATATTTCAATCAGCTAGGCAAAGCACAATTGAGCTTGGAATTAAATACATAACTATGAGTCCATAATTGTCTAATTTAGCTGATTTAGGAAGGAAACCATTTGCCCCCATTTAATGATGACTAATACCCATATATGCAATGTTATTGATAGGCAGTTTTCAATGGGACTGAGAGAAATATTTCAAACAGTACACTGAGCTGAAACTTCATCAGGCCATTTCTTTTTTCCATTTGAAATTTGATAACCACAAGCAGATGAATCAGTCTTTTCCTCTCTGCAATTCTCTCTGCTCCTTAGACTTCTTTGCTGGATTTTCATTCGTGTCATACCCTTAACTATTGCTTTACCCCAAGATGTCTTAAGTCCTTTTATCTTTTCTCTTCAGGTACTCTCATTTGATGATCTCATCAGGTACCAAAGGCTCATTTATCATCTGTATGTAGATAACTCCCAGAGTTATATATCCAACTAGAGTGTCTTTCTTGAGCTCTAACACTATCTGGAAATTCCACTGCCTATTGAACATTTCAACTCAATGTGCCATAAGCATCTCAATCTCAGCATTTCCAAAAAGAACTCATTATCTTTCTCAAGAAACCCTAACCTTCTCCCAAAATTCTCTTTTACCATTCAGGGCACCAGTATTCTTCCATCCACCCCGGTCTGAAACCTCAATATCATACTTGACTCCTCATGCTCACTATTGAAGAAAAAAAAGCTGTACTTTTTGAGTTTGGGGCACAAATATCCTAGAAACAATTTGCTGGTTAACCTAAAGCTAGTTATATTTTTAGTATTAGTTTATTTTATTGTTAATTAGTTTATGTTATTAAATCAAATAATGAATTCTGAAATGTCACATATATGCAAATTCACACTTAAAGAAGTTATTATATAAAATGTGGTAACTGGTGAAGTATGCAGTGAAAATTTAAACCATTCAACTACTTTAAGGGATTTGTTGTTTGCACTAATTCCAATTCTAAAATGGATAGTTTCCCCATGGCTTTGAAATTTAGAATAATAATTTACAATATTCCCAAACAAAGATAAAGTTCCACAGTCAAGATTATTAACCATAAGTTCCATCGCTATCTCAGAACAATTCCATTTAAAAGGTGGGCATAACTCACAGACTGGAAAATCATTTTCCTAAACTACTTAATGTCTTTTTGACCACTCCTTCTAAGGAATATCCTTTCCACTTCATTGAAAAAAATGAACTCAGGAAGTACTTCCATTAAGTGCAATTAAAAAAAAAACTTTCTCCTCTTAGTGTGATCATTACCCTAATAGCTTCAGGGTACAATCCTTTCTTAGCTGAATAGAATCATGAGACCTGGGATGGGTTCGAAACTGGCTTGGTATTTGATAAGAATGATATTAAATGATATTGTTTTCTTAGAAGTTTAATTAAAAGCAATAATAAGGCTTTTTTCATTCATGTAAATCTAGAAATGGCTTTCTACTAAAGAAATATTTACTTCTTTATATTTCTAAAAAGGGAAGGCACAAGTAGGGCTAGGTAGCTTAATGTGTTTCCGCACCATTCACCGACATATCCAAACAATTGTAAAGTCTTATATCTATTTTCACATTTCTCGTATAGCACCTCATTAATCCATTCACACAGGTCCTACCTAATTTAGACTCTCATTACTTTTTCTCCACTCAGAAAGAGAACAGATTCTAACTCCAATTTTGGATAAGAGAATAAAGCACTTTCCACTTTACTGTGTTACTGCAGGGTTTTTCATGTTTATTTCTGTTCAATTAATCTAGCAACTTATCAAACTGTTATTGATGGGTTTGTGTTACCTTTCCCTAAAAATACAGCTATTATAAAAGTTACCTACTGAAAATAATGGTCTAATTCCAGAGCTTAGCATAGTGCCTGACACATACTAGGTGCTTAATAAATGTTTATTAATAGATTGAAATGGAAAAATGGCAGCCTTGTGCTATGGAAAGACTACTGTAGTGGATTTAGGGTCAGATGCCTTCAGTTTGAATCTCAACGTTGCTGTTTATATGATGTCAGGCAAGTCATTTAATTTCTCTATGCCTCCGTTACCTCATCTATAAAAGAAGAAGAATGGACTAGCTGATCTTTAAGATCTATTCTAGCTCTAATCCTGATTTGAGATAATTAGGTACTGTAACAGGTCATCAGGCCATTTGGAAAAGGGGTTAAGGAAAGTTAGGTCTTATCATGTCTTTCAAATTGTATCACGTTATTGCCTGACTTATCTATACTATTTAACATTCCAGTAGAACCCCACCCTCACCAGCCACCCCAGAAAAGAACAGAAATACCTGCACCCAACAGCCAGCAGACTAAACTTGGATCCTCTCCAGGCTATAGTCTCTTCAACAGGGGTTAAGTGATGACAACCCCCCCTTCTCCCCACTTTTCTGTCAGCCACCCAGGTGAAACATTAGGTCCAGGCTCAGCCCAGATTCCACTTCAATACCCCTATGGTGAGCCTCCTTGCCCATTTACCACCCACTATTATCCCTATTGGTTCTCTTGTTCTCCCTATCTCTATAATTAATTAATAGCCATTTAAGGAAAAATTGTCCCTTCCCCTAAACCTCTTCATGTTCTCTCATCTTCATCCACTTCAATGCTACCTCACCCATGTCCCAATCTCACCCTAATGACCCCTTCCACTGTATGTAACTTCTGAAATTCCTATTTCATAATGACCAAACTTCCCTTCATCTTGGACCTCTTTCACATTCTTTCCATATTAGTTCTCTGACACTGAGCTCCACTATGATGACCCTGTATCCCTAGGAATCCTTTCTAGTCTACTTATACCTTGTCTTACACTCTCTTTTTCACACTGGTCCTAGAGCAGGTCTGACTACTCTTTTCCCTCAGACTTCCAAACTTTCTTATTAGCCCCTTTACCCTGAAACCTTTCCTCCTTTAAAGTCCATTCAATCAAAATTTACCATCCAATCAAAACTATGGAAATATAGTATATCAACTGCCAGATTATTCTCCCTCTTTTCCCAAGGAGCTTAGCACCTGGTTCACAATCTTCTCCTCAGTAACTTCAATCAATTGATAAACATTTTTAAAACATATAGTATATGTCAGGCACACTACTAAGCATTAAACACTACCCTCAAGGAACTTACAATCTGATGGAGTAGATGACATGAAAACAAATATATAAAACCCTAACAGAATAAATATGAACAGAGAGAAAGAACTAGAATTAAGAGGAGTTGGAGAAGGCTTCCTGTTGAAAGTGGGATTTTGGATGGGACTTAAAAGAAGCCAAAGAAGTCAGTGGTCAGAGGAGAGGAGAGAGAACATTTGAGGCAAGGAGAATAGCCAGATAGAATGCCCAGAGCTGAGGGATGGAGTGTCTTGTTCATGGGACAGCCAGGAGACCAATAGTAAGGAGTATTATGAAAGAAATCAGGAAAAGTGGAGGTGGCTAGTTTATGAAGGGCTTTTAATGACAAATGGAGCATTTTGTATTTGCTTCTGCCAGGCAATAGGAAACCACTGGAGTTTACTGAGAGGAACGGTAACATGGTTGGACCTACATTTTAGGAAAATCAGTTTAGTGGCTGAATGGAGGATAGATTGGTGTGGGAAGAGACTTGAGGCAGGTAGAAACACTAGCAGACTATTGCAATAATCAAAACATGAAAGGATGAGGTCCTGCAATAGAGTGGTAGCAGTGTCAGAGAAGAGAAGAGAGCCTATTTTTAAAGATATTTCAAAAGTGAAATTGATAAATCTTGACCACAGCTAAGGTGAGAGATAGTGAAGAATCCAGGATGATTCCTAGGTGGAAACCCTGAAGATAGGAAGGTGGTGTTGCCCTTTACAGTAATGAGGAAGGTAAGAGGAAGAGGACTTTTTTTTGGGGGGGGATATAATGAATTATGTTTTGAACATATTGAATTTATCAGTTTGCTAGACATACAGTTGATTGTAGGAGTGATTCATGGCTGAGGCTTGGCTGGGTATAATCCATCATACAAAAGTGGGCTAAGGATTCAAGAGAGGAGGGCAGTATAGAGTTGAATCATTTCACTAAAGAGTCGGTATGGGGAGAAGAGGAGAGAGTGGCTAGGGCAGGGGAGATGACATGGGAGACAATTAAGGAGTCCAGAGGCTGGAGGCCATGGTGCCAATGAAGAGTAGAGTTATGTAAGGGAAGGCAGAAGGAGAGGTGAAAAGCTAATAGATTCTGGTCAGATAAGGGGATTTAATAATTCTTGAACATGGAAGTGGTACATTTGTTGGTGATAGCGAGATTGAGGGTACCGCCACCTTTGTGTGTGACTGAGGTAAGGTAGAGGAGTAGTTCATTGAAGGTGAGTAGACTGAGGAACTGAATGATTAGGGCATCTGAGGGAAAATCAGTATGTATTGGAATTCTCAGGGATGAGATCAGGAGTAAGAGGAGAGTAAAATAGTAAACCAGGTATCAAACTCAATGAGGAAGAAAAGGAAATGACCTGGCAATCTATAGACAACAGTTACCATGATTTTGATTGAATTGTAAATATGAATAGTATGAACCTCAAAGACAGAGAGGTTGCTGAGTGATAGAAGGAAGAGAACATGGAAGTAGCAATTGGGAAGAAGTATTCCAACTCACCTGTCTTTACCAGTGAACCAAGGAGGATAAATGAAAGTACAGCAAGTGCTGGAAAGAGTGACCAAGGAGGATGTGTTATCAGAGAGAAGCCAAGGTTTAGTAAAAGCTATGAGATAAAGAAATGGACAAGGAAAAAAGGTTTAAGCTGAAGGAAAGTTTGCTGCCTATGGAACAGGCATTCCAGAGGGCACAGTGGAAGGGTTGGGTTAAGTTTAGATAAAATTTTAGAATAGGAGGGTTGAAGGTGATGGAACTGGTGATAGGAGGTGAGGAATAGGGTTCAGATGGTGATCTACAGGAGTTCAAAATTACTGTATCCATATATATGCTTCCTCAAAGTCCCTACCTTCTCATTTCTTCAACATCCTTAAGCTCCATGATCTAATTCTTTATAGTTCTCTTCAGCCACCTATAGGGATAGTCACACACTAGATCTTGCCACTTCCCACAAAGATTCCACTTCCCTAAATAGAAACTATGACATTCCTCTATCTGACCATAAACTACTGTAATTCTACTACTCTCTTTTCTCATCACTGATCTTATACCTCTTCTTCACCATCACTAAGATCCCCTATTCTTCAATACCTGAGGAATTTCTCATCCCTATTTTGATTTCATAATTGTCCCTTTTTAACTTCAATTCAATCATTAGCCTTTACAATTTTTCTGCTCTTGAATCCCTTGTCCTATCACTACTTTATTTTTCTTGAGGCAGCTTGGTGGCACAGGTGGCACCTAGCACTAGTCCTGGAGTCATGAAAAGCTGAGGTCAAATCTGGCTTCAGAAACTTACTAGCTATGTGACTTCAGGAAAGTCAATTAACCTTTGTTTGTATCAATTTCCTCAACTGTGAAATGGGGGTAGCAGCAACCTACCTCCTAGGGTAACAACCCTAGGATCAAATAAGATAATATTCATTAAATATTTAGCACAGTTCCTGGCACATAATAAGCACCATATAAATAATGCTAGCCATCCTCCTCCTCCTCATTATTATTGTTGTTGTTATTATTATTATTATTATTATTATTATTATCATTAGTGTTGGTGTTGTTGTTGCCAAACCTTGCAGGAGCTACTGAATGAAGCTGGAGAAAGTCATACAAGTGTTCTGGCTGCGCACACTACAAATCCAAATATTTAACCTCAACTGGATTCTCACTGTATCAAGATTCACTTTTATTCCTCCCTAGTTGATTCTCAAACTTAATTCCACTGAAGTTATTTCAAACAGTTTTTTCTCTCCTTAATCTCTCCTCCATTCCCCCAGTCTCTAACAAGACTGACACTTGTATATGATCCCCTATACACCTTATCATATCCTTGTCATATTTTCTCTCTCTGTCTCTGTCTGTCTCTCTCTCTCTCCCCCTCTTTTTCTCTCTCAACTTCAACTTCTCATAATTGTCCTCAAACGTGCCCAAGCCCCCCTCATTCTCATTCTTAAAAAAAAGCTTCCCTATACCCTACTATCCCCTGAAGCTATCATCCTATATCATTTTTTCCTTTTCAGCCACTCTTTTAAAAAAAAAAACTGTCTACATTCTTTGCCTCCACTTCCTCTCCTGTCACTCACCAATCCTTCATAATCTGGCTTCCAACCCCATAACTAACCTGAAATTACTCTCTCCAAAGTTGATAGAGATCTCTGAATTGCAATTTCTGGTGGTCTTTTCTCAGAATCTTCCTTTCCCTATGTGCTGCATTTGACATTGTTCACTAATCTTTTATCCTGAATACCTTTTCCTCATTCACCTCCGACCTATCTGGCCACTCTTTCTCAGTCTTCTTTTCTGGGTCATTGTCCACATCATGTTCTCAAACTGTGGATGTTCTCCAGGATTTTATCCTAAGGTCTCTTCTTTACTTCTTTAACACTCAGAAATCTCATCAGCTCCCATGGATTTAACTATAATATATATGCACATGACTCACAGCTAACTAGAGTGACACACACACACACTACCTAGTAGATAGATTGCTAGATATGGGTTTACATGAGTCAGGCACTTACTAGATGTGTGATTCTGAGCAAGTCATTTAACTTCTCTGTGCCTCAGTTTCTTCACTTGTTAAATGAGTGTTATAATAACAGCACCTATGCCACAGGATTATCATGAAGATCAAGTAAGATAATATTTGTAAAACACTTTGTAAACCTTGAAGTGATATATAAATGCAATCATGATTATTAGTATATATCCTGGTGTTTCTCCTGAACTTTAATGCCACCATCAATAGATATCAAAAACTACATATCCAAAACCAAATTCATCTTTCCTTCTAAATTCTCCACTACTTCCTCCTAAACTCTCCCCTATTCCAAACTTCTTTTACTGGCAAAGGTACCACAATTTATCTAGTCTTTCAGATTTGTAATCTCAACATTATCCTGGCCTCCTCATTCTCCCTCAACTCATAATCCAGTCATTTGCCAAACGTTTTTTCTATCTTCACATCTTTTGCATCCAACCCTTCTCTGCATTCAACATAGCAGTTCAGGTCACCTCTCACTTAGATTATTGTGACAGCCTCCTAATTGGTCTCCCTTCTTTGTCTCTCCTTGCCCCAATCCATTCTATATACTGCTGTCAAAACAATTTTCCTTAAATGTAGATCTGATCTTGTCATTCCTCTGCTCAGCCAACTCCAGTATCTCCTTATTTCCTCAAAGATAAAACATAAACTCCTCCCTCTAACTTTTAAATATCATCACTACCTGCCTCCAGTCTAACTTTCCAGTTTCAATGCATATTATTTCCCTTCCTATATTCTCTATTCCAGCCAAATTGGTCTTTTCTTTATTCCTTACAAAAGACACTCCATCTCTTATCCCCTTAATTTTGCAGTGGCCATCCCACAAACCTCTGCCTCATGGAGTCTTTAAGGTTCGGCTCAAACACCATCTTTGACATGCCTTTCCTGATTCATCCCACTTTAGTGATCTCTCTCCTAAACTACCTTGCATTTAATTTCTTTTTCTTTTTTTCTTTTTATTAATATTATATTTATGCTTTGTATACCTTTACCTGTATTTCTCTCCCCAATTAGAATGTAAGCTCGTCATGAGTAGAGATTTTTTTCATTCCTTGAATATGTGCCTATATATAGTAGGTGTTTAATGAATATTGATCGGTTCATATGTTGATTGGTATAATTGCCCTTGCCCAGAGGAGTATGGGATCTGAAGTCAGATAATTTCCCATAGACAATAAAAAGTTATTAATATGGATATAAATTGTTGATACATTTTAAAAATAGTTAAGAAGGAAAAAGGATGCAAATTTCCCTCTCTGTAAAAAACCGACATGGAGTAGAGCAAGCAGTCTTCCTGTTAGATGACCTTAAAGTTATTGAAAAAAATGAGGCTTGGAAAAATGCTGAACTTTCTAGGGATTTCTGGATATTTGCCCTGAGCTAGTTTGTTTTCATCTCAAATAAAACTTCTACTTCTACTTCAGCTCAGTACATAAACCTAGACAATTAAATTCTAAGCAAAATTTCATATACGATCATACAAATTTGAATTTACAATTCTCAAATGAGAAATTCTCAAGTTATCATCTAGTAGATACACTGTTTAGTTTTCTAGAAATATATATCTACTTACATGATTCAAATTTATATGCTGTTTTGTGAAATGTTGCTTAGAATATAATTGTTGAGGCTTATGTACTGAGCTGAAGTAGAGATAAAAATTTTACTTGAGATGAAAACAAATAAGCATAATACAATTTTTATTTCCTACATCCTCTGTCATGGCAAAGTCCTTCCAGATAAAGTACACATACATGCACACACACACACACACACACACACACACACACACACCACACACATACACACACACACACATTTTTTAAATGGTCTTCTTGTCCCAGTTTTCATTTTCCTTAGTGCACTAAAATTTTATTGTGTATGTCTCTGAAAAGCTAATTCTACTTCTGTTCTGGTATTTATTTTCTTTATCTTTAGATTCAGTTGATGGCGCTGTTGGCATTTTAGTACATATATGGCTTTTCCCAGCTGTCGTCCTCATCTCTATCTTAAATCCTCGAAGGTGACCTTATTCTGGCAGAGGCTATAAAAGATTCACCAAGCACTGACATGAAGAAAGAGTCTTTGTAAATGGACATTTAAAAACAAACTACCAAAGATTCCTCCACTGACTACAGACTCCAAAACAAAACAAAACAAACAAACAAAAAAATAGCACTGGGGATAAAAACATCATGGGAGCATAATTTATTCCAAACTACATATGAAAGGTGATCTTGTCATGAATAAAGAAGAGACCTACCTTCAGGGGCTCTCCTGGCTAATAAGAATACAGTTTCATCTGGTTAAACTCTGGGAAAAAAAAAAGAGCTATAGAAAGAAATCCTTGTCAAAGCACAAAGTCATGACTGGTTTTGTTTCAAAAGAATAGTTTGCTTGTTACCTTGGAAACCTAATGGCCTGCCAACAAAAACCTCATAGTAAACAGGGTATGTGAAGAGCTGGCATTTATTTTCCCTTCAAGAAGGCTTTTAGTAGAGAATTAAGTAAATGTAGGCCCTTTTGCCTTTGGCTGTTACTTTTTCTTGAAAATTACCCTAACTCAGAGCTTTTTAAGACATTCATGTCCTTTCCCCATCCTCTTTTCCCCCTCCCCCATGGCTAAGCTAGATAACTGTATGCTGTCTCTTTTTGCATGCATTATTATCCAGGATGTGAAACCTGGGCTTACGTATTACACAGGCTTATCGGAATTTGCTTGCGGCCACTTGAACATCCCAACTAAGTCATCTGTTCCAATGAAGAAACCAAACCACTATCTTTTATAAAATTGCCATGGAAACCAAGTGCCTTCAATGAAACAAGCCTGAAAATTTTTCAACACAGAAGCTTGCACTGCTAAGAGTGGTTTGTGTAAAACTATTTTATAAACAAACTACAGAGGCTAAATGTAATTAGAGGCAAGAAAACAAAATGCCACTTCTGGAGAAGAAAGAACCTAAGTTGCTTCGTAAGCCCTTTCAGATGAGATATTTGTTTAACCAGCTAGACAGCCATGGCCTTTCAGCTTATTATCCATTAGAAAATAGCTTCCACTGATACTGGACATGGGAACAACACTCCCCACCCCCCTTTATTAAGTGGATCAATCAGAGCAAAAGATTGTTATTTAAAATATTAGGTGGTAAAATAAAAAAAATGATTTGATTAATGTCCACTTGAAATGAAGTTGGCCCTAACTTTAGAACTCCTAGTTTGTTGATTGAGGGAAAAGGAAAGTGTTTGTGATCACAGTATATAGAAACTCTACAGCAACACTGGAACTGAAAAATGTCTTTATTCTAATTACTAAGGGTAATATGCCTCTGCCCTTTAGTCAGACTCTGTGCAGATTGTGAAATAGTATTTTATTATTTTATCAACATTTAAAACATACAAATACTTTTACAAAAAAAAAATTCTGTAAAAATGATTTTGAGCTACCTGAGGACAAACCATTACCAGTTTGAGCTACCAGGACAAACCAGCCAGTTTTCCTATGTATTGTAAATTTCCCTTATATTTGTTGGTTATGAAACTTGATGACCTTTTTCCTTAAATTATTTCAGCTTTTAACTTCATTTAAAAAGACTTCTGTCTAAAGAAGAGTATCATCATCATTATTATTGTTATCATTAATATATATTGATAATGCCCCAGGGTTAAAAACTGATTATGCAAATAATTGGGATATACATATTAAGATTTAACATTTGAAAATATAAATATAAAAAGCACAACAAGATGTAGTGAAACAATGACAAGGCTTAATATTTCTTTCAATTCTGTAGAAATGTTTGTGCAAATTAAGTAATTCATCTGAAATGATCATTTTACAGCTATGTTCAATAAAGCCTCTTTCCAGGTAAGGTATGTTAAGATGTATGTGTGTTTGTATGTATATTCACTTATTCACCAAGCTAAACTGATTGTTTTTCACTGGTGATATTGTCATTAGATATATCTTTGCACTTCATATACTTTGATGTCTAAGGACAAGAATTTTAGAAAAAAAATTTTTTAACTTTTGAAAATGCCAGTTCTCTCTAAGTAGCTTATTGGTAAAATGCTGTTTCAATGGTATTGTATCTGGAAAATACAACATCTTAATTCAGAATGGAATCTTATATTTAACTAAGGAGAGAACCATTTTAAATCTTCAATAAGTATCTAAACTGGGCTATTAAAAATTGAAATGTCATAAAAACCAATTTGACTCCTCTAACAAAATTGAAATGAAAATAATTTTTCTATATCATTAATGTTGTCTATCCATGCATCTAATTAATCTCTTATATTGATGAAATGCCCTTTTGATATTGGTCTGAATTCAATTACTTTTTTTTTCCTTCCTTAAGTTTAAAAGAAATCTCATTATGATAGAGATCATAAGACTTGAGTAGAATACTATTTTTTTAGCCAGGCACTTCCCTTTCATTTTAATTAACAAAACTGATTTTACTTGTTAAAAAACTGGTAGTAATAAAAATCTCTTCTTAAACCTTCACAAAACCTTCATAAGTCAATAAGAAATGATAAAGCTAGAGGTGGTTCTTTTAAAAACACACACGTATCAAACAAAATACCAGTAAAAGAAAGATGGTATAGAATATATCAGTCTAAAGGGCTCTAGATCTCTTAGCTAGACTAGAAGCTGAATAATTATCTCCTTTCAAATCAAAGCTATAACTTATTTTAAAAGCATAGAAATAAGAAACAAGAAACTTTAATTCTTGGAAAATGGCAGGTAAATGAGCTAAGTATACCCTAATTTAGCCTAATGTTACTTTTCTAGGTAACAAGATTTTAGTGCACATGGCATAGTTGAACTGACCAACAAGATTAGTATGATTTTTGGTGGTGAGAAATAATATATGAGAAGCCTAAATTTTGTCTGAAGTATTTTTATTTTGTGTGAAAAATTTCAACAGGGACCTTTAAATCATTGGATTTTCTGGGTGTAGGCTGATAGCTATAATTTCTGTTTACCTGTGCTACTTAATTTGGATATTGCTGTATGATTAATCTTTGAAAATTGCCAGAATTAAAATGATACCTAATTTGGATATAGTTCATCAAAAGGAAACAAGGAAGATTAAGTAAATCTTGTATGTGTATGTGAATGTACATACAAATGACATTTTCATTGACTATGCTATGTACTAGGGTCACTCAGTATTCTCTTTTCCTTTTTCATTTCTTTCCCTCTGGTCCATCAATCTAAATATTTTGCTCCATTTTTTCTTTCTTTCTTTTTTAAAATTTATGTCTATTTAGCTCTGTGTCACTTCTTTCATTGTGTCATTTGCTGACTATTCCTATAACTATTTTAAAAAAAAAATTGTGGTTCTCCTGTGCTGAATAATATATTGCAGATAATATAGTATATCATAAAAGAAGTATAGCGAATCACAAAAATTTATTTTATGACAGTTTGTTTGGGATATGGTATGCCACAATAGCACGACAAGCTAAAATTCATAAGTTATTTCCCATTGATCACTAAACTGTCTTTGAATTAATTTTAATAACTAAAACCACTTGGGTTTAAGTTGCAAACAAGCTAACTAACTGCATTATATATTATCAGTGTAATAAATCATCCCATACCTATTTTACAATGTAACAAAATCCCAAATATAATTGTACTCGATTTTCACCAACCATACATTTTTATTTTAGAAGCCATATAATTAAGTCATGTTTTAACAAAAAAGTTTAATGTATGAAAAACAGAATCAAATTAATACCACATTTAAGGATCTGAGAAATTTATATGGATATTAAAGAGTTTAAATTTTACATATTCATCCTTTATAGCAAGATACTTTTAAGAAGGTGAGAAAATCTGATGCTCTCTTTTATTTTAATGACTATTATATTTCAGGTGTATATTCATTATCATGTTTCCATTTAAACTTTACCTTTCAATAGTATGAGGTGTACCATAGCACCTCAGGCCTGAGCAGGTTTATCCCCAAAGGCATCTGCCTAATTGGCCAGCAAATACATCTTTCAAAGTATTTCACATTGTACTACAAAGAAAAGAGATTATTCTGGTGCTGCTGGATGACTGAAGTCAATTAGTAATTAATGAATTTACTATAGAAACAATAAAAATATAAGAATCATCTCCATTTTGCCTTTTTTCCTCCAGTGTTCCCTTTCTACCTGCCATCAATTTATGGATTTTCAGGTAGTTTGTTTTTAAAATGATGGCCATAATACTTCAAATTTCAACTTACAAGAAAAAAAAAACCTATGATGCAATATGAAGATTCTTCCCCCCATGACTGTGTATTCAACTGCAGCATCAGATGTGACATTGGGATAAATTTCTGTAGTACTTCTATGAAAGACAGAAATGCTAATTGCATGGCAGTGGGGAGACAAAAGAATTCTAAACCATAGATAAATATATGGAAAAATAGTGAAAGGGTGAGTAATGAAAGGATTGAAAACCATGAATCTACTACAAATTCAATCATGGATTGTCTTACCATATCTTGTATACATTTTAATTTCATTAAACTGTCATTCAATTTCATTATTCTGATCCAGAATATAGTGTTATCAGAAATTAGAAAGTTGAAATTGAAAGCTTTTAAGAGTGATAAACTGAAGGTAATATATTGGACAGAATATTCAGTAGTAAAAGCAGTAAAATTTAGTTATATTAATTTTTCATCAGATCAATGAAAAATGTACTTTATTTTTGAACTGACATAAAATGATAAGAAAATTTATGAAATAGTTCTTAGTTTGTTCAATTCTTTGTGGATCTAGTCCATATTTCATTGATATCCTGGCTTCTTTAATATGAAAATACAGTTTTCCCTTTAGCCCCATGTTCCAAATATTTTTTAGATATAAGTTTAATCAATCTTACACTGAATTAAATCTATATTTGATTTCTGGTTACATTATATACATGTGTGCTTCTAGGTTTGATTTGCTTTTCCATTAGGTACTTTTTCCCCTCTGTTAAATAGTTTCAGATAGATGTATGTTATTTTCCATTTTTTCAATAAATGAAAACATGTTAAATACCATGTTAGTGTTCTGCAGACATTTCTACTATTAATAACTGCTAACGAGTGAGAAATTCAATGACTATTTTAGTGACATTCATTTTTAGAGTTTATGAGGTGTTTTTATTATCCAATTTTATCCTAGAGGAACTATGTAAAATAGATAACCAAGTATATATATACACACATGTACATATATATGTATATATGTATATATATACACACACATATATATAATATATAACATATATATATATATAATATATATAATATATATAACATATATATTATATATATATATATATAATATTATATTAGCAAATAATGAAATAACTGTTAAAAATTTGCTTAGGGTCTGGGAATTCTTTTTTGGCCTAACTAGGAAGTAGCAGACCCAGAACCAGAATCCAGGTGTTTTTACTCTTAGTCTGTTTCCACTACACCGCATTGCCTCCTTAGGATAGCAATTCTATTTTAAAACCATCGAAATATATGAGATCAACGGTTACATCAGCATGAGAAACTGACGTAGAAGGTGTGACTCAAATAAGAGGAGGATTGGGTCCTTGTATGCACAGTCTTTGGTACATTAAACCTTCATTCCATAATTTTTACTTATTTATACTTTAGGTTTTGATATGCATTGCAGATTTCCCTGAAAAAGGAGAGTGAAAATGTAATCAGTGCACAATATAAACCTGGTATAAGACAAATGATTCATCAAAACATACAAACAAGATGCTAAACATAAATGTCTCGCAGTGTCCGTTTAGTAGAATATTATCTTAATTTAACAGTTTTATTTATTTTTATTATAGTATGTTATATATGATATATAACATTGCTAATATATTGCTAATACAATAATATATAATAATATTATTATTATAATTAATAATATCTTAGTTTAAACCACTTATAATCTGTTAAGTGGCTGGTACTTGAAAAGAAGCATAAAGCAGTTTGCAGGTCTTCTAATGAAGACCTTGATTTGTACCATTGTACCTTGATTCTGTACTGTCCAAACAGTTCCCAGTACATGTCTGTTATTGTACTTCTTCTCTTCTCTGACACCAGAGCCACCTTAGTCTAGGCCCTCATCACAATATACCTAGACTCTTTACATAATATTCTGATTAGTCTTCCTGCCTCAAGTTTCTCTCCACACAGTCCATTAGTTGGCAAACTGATCTTGATAAAGCGCAGGTATGACCATATCTCTCCACAATTAATAAATTCTAATGGCTCCATTTCCTTTTCAGTAAAATGGGAATATTAATAGCATCTACCTCACAGTGTTGTGAAGCTTGAACAAGATAAAACACATAAAACATTTTGCAAACTTTAAAACATTGTGTGTATGTTGGCTACCATTCATTTATTTTCATGATGGACTTCCTGTAAATATTTATTGTAATCATTGTAGCATAAGTATAAAGATTAAATGTCAATTCTTATTATGAATTGATATACAACAAAGCTACCTCTACCAAATTTTCTTCAAAAAGAATCTTTAAGTCAGTCTTCCCATTACTTACATAAAACTACCTTCTCTCTTCTGTTTTTGTTTACAGTGAGAATGTCAAGATTTACATAATTAATTTTCCCTGATAATTTATGCATTTGTTGGTCAATGAACCAAGATGTCACATTTAGCATACCAGAATTCAATTTCATGTTTTCAGATGGTTTAAAAGCTATAGAATTCTGAGCATTTTCTGCTCACTTTTCTGCCACTGTCACCATCTGTGCAGAAGAGGAGACATCACTGAGGATGATTCTGTGCTTTACTTTGTCATGGATTTCTATAATGAAAAAAAAATGTCATCACCAAGTAGCTATCCTGCTTGTGATAAGCTTTTTTGTATTTTAACTAAGTGGATCCTTAAAAGAGAAGAAAGGAATAAACATTTATACAGTTCCTACTACAGAACAAACACTGTGCTAAGCACTTTACAAATATATTTTTTGATCCTCATGAAAACCCTATAAAGTAGGTGGTATTGTTAATCCCATTTTACAGTTGAGGAAACTGAAGCAAACACAACTGAAATTAAGTGCCTGAAGTCACACAGCTAATAATTGCCTCAGACTGTATTTGATCTTTCAATCTTTCTGACTCCAGGCCCATTCTATCTGACTCTTATCTACTGCACCAACTAGCTGCCTCCTTAAAAGCATAGTGGTCTCTACTGTATACTAATGTTGAACATACCTTTATAATTTTTTAAAAATCCATTCATTCTTTTTAAGAGGTAATTCCTCAGGTAAAGGTAGAGATTAACTAAGTTGGCAGTAGACAAAACTGATGAGCTATATTATTTATAGCCCTATTTTTGGTCAATGGCTTAGTTCTTAGATCAAGTGCAAATCTACAAATATTTACTAGGTAACTACTATTTCAATGTAAACTAACAAATGACTATACTCATAATAAAAATAAACAGAACCCTGAGTTATGAATATTATTTCTCATACTGTCAGTAGATTTTTGTTACATTTTGGCTATTATACAAATGACATGCAATTACACTGACACCAGCTCCCATCCTTGCTCCATTTAATTTACAAATAGAAGTAGAGAGTAGTAGATAGAGTGTAATAAGGAAGACTTGGGATAAAAAACACATACCTCTGTCACCAGTTGTATGACCACAGAAATTATCAGGACTGTTTTGAGCACCTACCTGATAGCTGTGAGGTGAAGTGTAACTTCCTTCTACTCCCTTATACACTCAACACACCACTCCCAGCCTCCATTCAACCATGAGCACATGACAACTAAATTATATATCCTACCTTAGTAATCCTGCAGTGGGATTTGGACTGCCCCTTTTGCATTTGTTTTTTCCTGATCTTAAAAGAAATACCTTTATGAGATGGAAAAGTCCAGGCTTTGGTGGTGGTGAGGGGAACCTTGTAACTTTGAGAAGTCCAGGTGTCCCATGAAATTAGAGATAAGTTGCAGGAGTAACAACTACTCCAGAGGTTTTAGAGAGGATAGCCAATGATAAGAGGATTAGCCTAAACCTCAATCACACAGCAAGCATCGATTATGCACCTACTACACACAGGTACCCTGTTAAGTGTTGGGAATACAAAGTAAGGCAAAAGACGGTCTCTGCTCTCAAGGAGCTCACAGTCTAAACAGGGAAGACAAAATGTAAACAACTATGTACAAACAAAATAAATGCAGGATAAATGTGAAATAATCAATAGAGGGAAGCCACTAGCTTTAAGGAGAATTAGGAAAGGCTTCTTTAGAAGACTGAATTTTAGCTATAACTGAAGAGAAGTTAGAGGTGGAGATGATGGAGAGAATTCTAGGCATGGAGAACAACCAGAGAAAATTCTCAAAGTCTACAGTCTTGTGTGAAGAACATGAAGTCCTGTGTCACTGAATCATAGAAGACATTGGGGTGAATAAAATCTAAGAACATCAGAGAGGTAGGAGGGAAGTATGTTATGAATAGCTTTGACCACCAGAATATTTTATATGGGAGTAGGTGTGTGGGAGCTAAATAGTCTGCTTCCCATTCAGGCAGTCATCTTGGATGTCTGAGTACCATTAATTTAAAATAGGTTGTCCTACTCCTCTGAAAAACCACTAGAATTGTCCGAGAGCCCCAGAATGAGAATGTTGAAAACCCCCTGGAGCAACACAGGGCAGCAACAAACTTCCACTATTGTTATTTAGTTGTTTTAGTCTTTTTTGCCTCTTCCTGACTGCATTTGAGGTTTTCTTGGCAAAGGTACTGGAGTGGTTTTCATTTTCCTTCTACAGCTCATTTTGCAGATGAGGCAAACAGGGTTAAGTGGCTTGCCCAGGGTCACACTGCTAATAAGTGTCTGAAGCCAGATTTAATTCAAATCTTCTTGACTGCAAGCCCAGCACTCTATCCATTGTGCTACCTAACCCCAACTTTTAGTCAACATAGAATAAATGCACTCAGATTGGGACAGTGTAGGCCCAGGGGCTCTAAAATACTAAATACTCTATCCTGAGATGCCAAAGAATGTCCTGAAGATCCAACACTCTGTATCTTCCTGAATCTAGGCAGGGTTAACTCCAGGAAGTAAAGATTAGCCCAAGAAAGCAGGCTACCCAGGTGAAGACCAATTAGAACTTACCACTTAACTCAAAAGTATAGCAGAGGGGCATGCCATAGTCCTGGAACAAAGCTTTAATTCAAGAACTAAAGCTGAAGATATGATTAAATGAAAGAAAATACAAATGCATATGAAAAATTATCCAAAAATTTAGATGTCCCAAAAAGAAAAGAGTAATTCCATAAAAACCACAAGCAGAAATTGAAAGGAAAAAAAAATGATTTTCCACAAGGACTATGAAAATTCCTAGAAGAAATGAAGCAAGAGATTTAAAAAAAGAAAGAAAGAAAGGTTTTACAAGAAAGAATTGGAAAGAGAATAAATAACTTAGGGGAGAAAAGTGATAAGCCTTACTCAAGAAATAAACTCCCTGAAAACTGGAGTGGACAAAAAAAATTCATTGATTCCATTGAGGCAATACACTAGAACCAAATCAAAATATCAAAACATGTAGAAAAACTAATGTTTCTGATATTTAAAACAACTGAATTGGAAACAAATCAAGGAGAAATAATTTAGGAATCATTGAACTCTCTGAAAACTATGATTTCCCAAAAGCCTGGACATTATTATTTCAAGAAATCATAAAGGAAAACTGCCCAGATATATTAGAACCAGAGAGAAAAGTAAAGGTAGAAAGAACCCACTGGTTATGTCCAGAAAAGAATATAAAAGGAAAAATCCCAAGAACGCTATGGTGGAGTTTTTCACATCAAAAATAAAAAAATGAACATAAATGAATAAATAAGTGGATAAATGAATGAATAGCTGGACAGATAGATAGACACTGAAAGTATCCAGAAAGAAGACATTCAAGTATCAAAGAACTATGGTCAGGACCACATGAATCTTGACAGCTTCTACTGTAAATGAAAGAAGACC